GAGAAACAGGATATGAACATTTGTTTTCTTGGGGTAAATGTTGGACCCTGTATAAGCTGTTGAAAGTTGAAAGAATTCAACTACAATTTCTAACAAATTGTTGAAGGCCTACTTTGAACTAACATGAGTATACAGAATCCCTGGGAGCTGTAGTCACAAGGAAAAATTGCACCTATGTATATCATCTCCACAGACTTCACTGTATACTTATAAGAGAGATTAGGAGCATGGGAGAAAGCTTCTATCTTGGTATAGGTATGGGAAAGGGGAACAATAGCTGTTGTGGAAAAGATAAAGCTTCACATAGAACCTTCTCCCCTATCTTCTCTATGGAGCAAAAGTTTAGCTGCTGTGGAAAGAGCAACAAACACTGTCACTCTCAATCAAGCCAGAGGTAAATGTTCATTGCAAGTAAATGAAGGAAACAAGAAAACACCCTCTGGCCTCGGGGAGGGACAGGAAAATACCCCAAGCCCAGATCACTTAGAGATCTCCTACCTTTGCAGGAGGAGTATGACCATTAAAAACAAACACAAAAACAAAAAACCTCCATTCCCAAGATCATAAGTATAGTGCCTGCCTCAGATGGAGACTGAACCAGAATAACAGAGAATGACTCCCTTTTGCCCTCTTCCACCTTTCTCTATCAGACTAGCTAGTCTTCTCAGGCACAAAGGAAAGACCTAAAACTGAATGGTAAGCAGATATTGAGAAAAATCCTCTGAAAAGTATTCCTCACTTTAAGTTCAAGTTAAGACAAGAGAAATTTGAAGGTTGTGGTGCCCTGAGAGTAACCATAGAAACTAAAATAACAAAAAATAAACTCAGCTCAATTCTCAGCTATACTGACACAAACTCTTAAAATAGGAAAAGGCATGCCTATTCCCAGGCATAAATACTATTTACATTTGTCTCTACTGTTCTATACAAGATATCCAGCTTTCAATCAAAATGCAGCATACACAAATAAGCAATTACAACACACACGCACACACACACACACACGTGCAAGTAATGATACACTGTCAAGAGACAAAACAATAAACAGAACCAGATTCAAATATGATCCACATGTTGGAACTGTCAGACAATTTAAAATAACTTTGGATAACATGACACAGATTCTGAAGGAAAAGATAGACAATGTGCATGAATAGATATGGAATTTCAAGTGAGATGTAAACTATGAGAAATAACCACATAGAAATGAAAGAAATGGAGAGCATGATTACAGAAGAGAAGAATCACTTTGTGAACTCATTAGTATAATCAACATGCTAAAGAAAAGAAACAGTAAACTTGGAGATAGATCAAGAAAAATCTTCCAACCGATAAGCATGAAACAAACAAAATAACAGCTCATCCAAGAGATGACGGACAATATTGAATGGTCTAAGATGAATGCAACTGGAATCATAAAGAGAAGAGAGAAGGAAAAAATACTTAATTACGTAATGACCAAGAATTTTTCAAAATCAATACATTACAAAAAAACCACAGATCTAAGCCCAGAGAACACCAAGCAGTAAATACTTCCCAAACACACCTACAAACATAATATAGGTTTTCCCCATTATCCAAAAGTAGAGTGTTTCTGAAACCTTTCATGAGTCAAAATGGTATAAAGCGAAGAAGCAATAACCATTAATTTATATGGAAAAGTTTTTTAGCATTCTCAGACCCCAAAAATAACCTCTCTTAGGCTTTTCTGATACCTTAGGGCACATCTTGCTAATGGATGCACAAAATAAATAAAGCACAAATGCTTACAGCCACAGTTCAAAGATACGGTGGGTTGATGCTGAGATGTTGAGTACAGTTCCTGGGGAAGAAGCTTGGTGGTGCCACTGTCACTGCTTGGGGTGTGTGATGCCCCTATAATGGTTTGGCTCATTGCAAAACAAATGCCGAATGCTATTTTCACTTTTTGCCTTTTTTTTTTTTTTTTTAGTAAAAATCATTTTGAGATTTCTTTCAATTAGTTAAGAACAGGTACAAATGTAGGTCTTTTGTAAAAGCAAACTGGCATAACGCAAATTTTTAAAAAGTGGGGGATTATTTGAAAGAAAGTTGTCTTTCAATAATTTCCATTGAATTAACTAAAAAGTATTGAAATTAAATTAGTAGGTACTCTTAAGTTAATAGCAGTTTATATTCTAAATAGAAAATAAATGCCTCATATTTGGCCTAAGTAGTAGCTCATGGGATTTAAGATATGAAGATTAGTTGTATGTAGTTTGCATATTTCAGCTTGAAAAAAAAATTCTTCTTCAGTATCTTGAAAAAATAGAGCACTAGGGGTAAAGCTTGTTAAACAAAGGTCAGTTTCCAACCAGATAAAAAGACTTGTTTATAATTAATCTGATGGTGATAAAAAGGCATTTAATTAGATTTCCAACACAAAATGGGAAAGGATAGGTCTGGGGTCTGAAACACAGTAGAGTTCAGCCATCTGCTGCCAGCTACCTCTTGCCAACATGTGATTTGCAAGTTAAATTATGCCAGCTGATGACATATGGCACTTCTTTCTTCTTTAAATATCTTACTCAAAATGAGTTTGCTCTCAAATGCTGAGGTTGGATTTTCAGCAATCACAGCAGTTGCCATAATTTTCCTTCATAAACAAATTTAAGCAGTATAGATTTAAATTGCTAGCTCCTGTGTTACTGTCCTGTGATATGATTGTGAGTTAGAGAAGTCTGACCTCTGAAATGTTCACATTTGGAATTCACAAACTTAAAACTTTTTTTACAGTTTTAGGGTAATGAGGTAGAGAGACAAGAGTCACCGCTCTAGGTTTTGATATACATCTGAAGAAAGAGAAAAGATGGTCTAAAGAAAAGAAGTGAAGAACCTATTTGAATCCACTGATTTATCTCCAGCATGATGTGTCTATCAGCTGGCAACAGAGTTGAGACTTATACTACAGTAGCTGTCAAAAATCTAAACCATCAAAACACTGCAAAACAATGTATTCTTATAACCAGTGTCCTAACGCTGAAACATTCTCTGGTCCTCTCAAGGTTTTAGACTTATTGACAGCCACAGTTTTGTCTTCAGAATTATTGATCCAATCTGTCTTGAATTAAGGCCACAGCTTTTTCCAAACCTTTTAATCACTTGGCCACCACAAAAATCTCCAAAAACAGTTTAACCATGATCTAACTAAACAAACTATGTACCTCAATAACTAAAATTGTGTGTGCATATGCGCACATGTGTATGTGTGTGTATGTGTATTTGACAAGACACTGCTATATACCATCAAGATAACAACATGGATATAAATTATATATAAATATAAAGCAGGTATCACTTCCAGAAGGAAGGCCAAAACCATGGACATAGGAGTTCTTCACAGAGAATATGAGCATCCTCAGCCAATCACATCATGAATTTCTCTACCCATGACCCACATGTTTAACTGTAAGGTAAAGACTTCAGGCTATGAGATTGGAAATGATAAAGCTTATTGATCATAGTTTTTGTCACAGCTGATTGTATCTCCTATCTATCCATAAAGTTTTAATCATGACTATCTAACTTACAGCTACCAATGGCAGCTTTCTTTAGACAAGATGGTCTTCTGTCAGACTTGCACCATTTTCTCAAATTTTCACTGTGGGCTGCATCACTACAAAATCAAATTTTAACTCCATTTTACTATATTCATTGGTTATAAAGCACTTTGTGGTTTCTCTAAATAAGGAAATATGTCTTAAATATTCCATTATTATCTTTGTGATCACAAGAGGATATAAAAGTTATGTTATCAGCAAATTGGTAACAGTTTAGGTGGATGAGTAGCAACAGGCAAAATACAATGCTGGTAGAGCATGAACTGATCATCTTGGATTTCCTTGGAAAGGTGCTTAGCAATTCAGATTTTAGAGAAAATGAATGGCAAGAGCGCTGACTAATCTGAACTTCAGCTGGTTTAGAATAGTATCTTGATGCTGGAGGCCCTGGCCATGCTGAAAGTTAACCCTTCAATTGCTGGATTGTGGCAAGAGGCAGGAGTGCTGAAGCAATAAGGAGCAGAAGAAAACTTGAGGGACTCAAGAAAGTTGCTATATAAAACCCATCCAAAAGCATTTTTATATTTTAGCACTAGGATGGCTATACTGTTGTAGAATGGCTGAACGTTAGTCCTTGTTTATGAATTTGCTTCCAACATGAAGTTTTCTAACACTTAGGGTTTCAGAAAATGAGCCCTCATAGTTATAAAGGATATGTTAAGTTGGAAGTTAACTCTAAAATGTCTTTTTATTCCTCCAATATCAATAAAGCACAGAACACTCAAGGAATGAATGTGGGTGTATGTGTGTATGTGCATACACACTGGTAATGGCAGGTCTTAAAATTCAAACACCTAATACTTCCAAGTGTTTTAACATAGAATCCAAATGTCACAGCTTTACCAGCCCTTGAACACAGCTATTGTCATATTAATAGTAAAGTTTTATTTCCTGTATTATCTCCCACCTTTACTCACAGATATTCCAGCTTCCTACCAAAATCTCCCCAGTACTCTGAAAGTTCTTGCAGTGTTTATCATGTGCTTGTGAAGCAGAATACCAGTTAGAGAAGCCATATGGCATCCACCATGTTTTTATTGTCCTTCACTCTCCTACCCTCTTTATTGCTCTCTACACATGAGGTTTCTTGAATGTGTCTTGGATGCTGCTACTGCTATTATTTTGAGGACACTGTTTTATAAAGTATAGATTCTACTGCTGCTTGACCAGGACTTTAGGTGCCAACTCCTCTCTATGGTCATGTTCTAGACCTTCATTCTGTGCGGCACTTTGTCACCAAGACCACAGGGTATTACTACTTTTGCCCTGTCTCACAAAGTGTTTTAACCACCATTTGATAACTGCCCCCCCAAACTCAAAGCAATTCTGGAAGGGCAGTGAATGTAATGACCCACAGCAGGTTGTGACTCAGGGGGGACCATGAAAGTGTCCATCCTCTTGCACATTATGACTTACCTGAGCAACCTCCTTCTCAGGAGTTGAGGAGGCTGTTGAAGACAAGATGGTTTCTATCTTTCTGTGACATCATCATCTTTAGTAACCAGTAAGTGTGGAGCTTCCAGGAACCATCTTGACACCATATGAAGACAGTCTGAGAATAAAGCCAACGAGAGGGAAGCACAGCATGATTTAGAGTTGTGCCATCTAATTAGCCACTGGCTACATGTGGCTTTTTATACTTGAATTCATTTAAATTAAATTAAAACATTCATTTCCTTAGTTGCCATTAGCCACACTTCAAGTGCTAATAGTCACATAGACTATTGTACTGGATAAAGCATTTTATTGGACAGCGTGATCTACAGAGAGAAATAGAACCCTAATTTCATCCTTTAAATCTCTGCATCTAGCCTTTCCTAAAGCTGGATCCACCTGAAATTCCATTTTGGTTTAAGCTAAAATAATGAAAGCTTGTTTAAGTTATATTTTTGACCTTTGAAAAATTTATATGCAGAAACTAGCCCTCAGGGCTATTGCCAGAATCAGATCAGGAAACAGACAACCTTCTCACATTTTCCCAATTTCTTCCCATGACCTCAGGCCTATTGCCAGAATCAGATCAGGAAACAGACAACCTTCTCACATTTTCCCAATTTCTTCCCATGACCTTTCCTGACAAGATTCAATCTCACCCTCTCCTTGAGAACACACACACACACATCATGAAAAGAGATCAGAGGGCAGAGGCTTGGTAGATGTCACCACAAAGCCAGCCTCAACTATCAAAGATAAACAAAGCCAGACATTAGTTAAAGCAGTGAAAACAGATTTTATTCAGTAAATATTGACAGTAGGGGAAAGAGCTGAGCTCCAGTCTGATTTGCAGAGGTGATTGGGCATTTTTCTTAATTGAAGTAGAGTTGACATATGATGTATTAGTTTCTTGTGTACAAGAATGATTTGACAATTCTATACATTATAGAATGCTCACCGCAATAAATGTAGTCACCGTACAAAGTTATTATATTATTATTGACTGTATTCCCTATGCTGTACTTTTCATCCTTGTGACTTACTTATTTTATAACTTGAAGTTTGTACCTCTTAATCCCCTCCATATATTTTGCTCATCCTCCCACCCACCCCTCTCTGACACAACCAGTTTGTTCTCTGTGTTTATGAGTTTGTTTCTGGTGTGTGTGTGTGTGTGTGTGTTCATTTTATTTTTTTAGATTCCACATATAAGTGAAATTATATGGTATGTGTCTTTTTCTGCCTGACTTATTTTACTTAGCATAATACTCTCTAGATTGTATGGTATTTCCATTTTTATTTTTTTGTGGAACCTCCATAATTTTTTCTATATTGACTGCACCAATGTACCTTCCCACCAACAGTGCATGGGGGTTCCCTTTTCTATACATCCTCACTAATACTTGTTATTTCTTGTCTTTTGGTTACTAGCCATTCTGACTAATGTGAGCCAATATCTCACTGTGGCTTTGATTTACGTTTCCCTGATAAATAGTGATGCTGATCATCTTTTCATGTGTCAATTCCTCTGCCCACTTTTTAACTGGACATTTGTATTTTTGATGTTGAGATGTGTGAGTTTTGGATATTAACATTTTATTGGATACATCATTTGCAAATAGCTTCTCCCATTCAGTAGGACCGGGCATATTAAGAAAAAAACTTTTTTTTTAAGATTTTATGTATTTATTTAGAGAGAAAGAGAGAGCTTGCACAGGGGGAGGGGGCAAAGGGAGAGGGAGAAATCATCTCAAGCAGACTCCACGCTCAGTGCAGAGCCTGACCTGGGGCTCAATCTCATGACCCCGAGATCGCGACCTGAGCCGAAATCAAGAGTTGGATGCTTAACAGCCTGGGCGTTTTATTTATTTATTTATTTATTTTTAAAGATTTTATTTATTTATTTGAGAGAGAGCACACGAGAGGGGGGAGGGTCAGAGGGAGAAGCAGACTCCCTGCCGAGCAGGGAGCCCGATGCAGGACTCGATCCAGGGACTCCAGGATCATGACCTGAGCCGAAGGCAGTCACTTAACCAACTGAGCCACCCAGGCGCCCAGCCTGGGTGTTTTAAAGAGAGAATGAGGGTGTAGGGAAGAAATCAAAGTAGGGACTCAAAATTACAAAGGACTGGCCATTATAAATGTGATTAGGCCAGACAGCTGTCTCTGCTACCTGACAATTATTGAAGTAGGAGAAATCCAGTCTTCCATAGAGACTAGGGGAAATAGGCCCTCTTCTTCCTGATGATTACATTTCAAAGAAATGGCTTGCAAGACCTTGAGATAGATACTCCTGAGTTGTAGGAGATATATATACATCTCAAAGGGTCAGAGAAAAGATTTACAATTATAAGGCTTTTTTTAGTAAATGCTGTAAGGAAGCAAGATCAGGTGTTGCCTAGAACAAACAATATATTCTAAGCCCTGAGTTTTTCCAGGCAGAAACTCCTAAGAGGGCAGGGTTGTCCCAGGAACACGAGGCCTTAGGCTTGGAGAAGCCATGTTAAAGTTTGGCCAAGTCTCTTGGTGCAGGAGTTTCAATGGAGTATTCATGACAAGAGTTTTTTTCAGTTCTCACTATCTAGATTTTTCCAGAATGCACAGCAAAACAACGTATGTAATTTAATGCACAAGGCAATCCTCTGATATACATATCATTATCCCCATCTTACAGGTAAGGGAACCAAAGCTCAGAGGGCTTAAATCACTTGTTCAGGTCACATACTAATAAATTAAAAAGCATATTGGAACCTAGATTTCTCTGACTAAAGATTGTGTTTTTCCTCACATCACCCATAACTTTGTCTCCCTAGTGATCTCCCTCATTTTTCATGCATGTCTCTATAACTAGTTTACAGAAGTGCCCTTGCCTTTAAATGATAAAGCCAATAAGATGTGAATTGGGGGAAAAAGCCCTCACAAAATGTCAGAAACTTGTGATTAACAGGCAGCAGGTGTACAAACTGAAAGTGTTCGACTCACATCCATTGTCATCTCGGCAAATGGCTTGGCCCCAAAGTTGCTGAAGGGGGAAATTTGATTATCTTTGCTTCCCCAGAAGACCGATAAATCGAATTCAGACTGCTATTGTTCCAGATACAGCCTGAATCTTCCATAGGATTTTAATCAGCAGCAGCATTATGTAGCATATGGGAGCTATTTGGCTGAAAGGAAACTCCAACCGTGACTGGTACATCCGCCCAACATGAAAGGAAAATAATAATATGGAATAATGGGACTTCCTTATCTACAGTGCAGCCTCCCTCTGAGAAACTCTGTGGTTTACCCTACTACATCTTCACAACATCCTATTAGGTAGGTCAGAGAACTACTTGCCTATAATGTTTACTGGCTGATTCCACCAACATTTTAATCTCTTTCATGGCTCTTCTCTATCTGCATCTATAAATCCTATCTCTTCCCGCTTTTTGATCTCTTCTGTTCTCTTTAGTTTAATGAATAAGCCTTCACCTATCCCTCCCCATCTATACTGTTCTATCCTTAACTCCTTTTTCTTGCTACTATTTTTTTTTCCTTTCCTACTCTTATTTTATAAAAAGCCTAGATGGGAAATCAGTGCTCATAGAGTGACTAAGTCTTTAGCTCAATTATTTCATCCTGTTAGACTAGATGATGATCAAATGTAAAGGACACTCCACTTATTCACTTCCTTAGTCACCAAAACTTCACTGGATATATTTGTTTCGAATATATTTGATTCAAAGTTAGCATGTGATCCTTTTGTTCAAGCATGGGAAACAAACAACTAATGAAAAAGCAATGGGATGAGTGTCATCATTTTATTGAGCCCATTAAAGTATGGGAAAAACTAAGAGGGTTACCAATGTAGTCTATAGTGGCTGGTCCCTACAGCTTTCAGGTGTGATTCCAGAGCCAGGCTCGGAAACCAAACTTCAGGCTTCTTTTTATATCCCTCCCCCCTCTTTTGAACTTTCTTGACATACTTCCACTCCTAGACATTCAGAAAGACTGTGAAAGATATTATGAGGAATTGCCTAACAATCTCACACACACCCAAGAATGGCATTGACAAGACTGACCTAGTAAATGATGAGTCAGCATTTTATTTTAAGGAACCTAGGAGTCAAACCTAAAGCTCTTGGCATATATACTTTCTAATAGCAGGAAAAGTGAAGAATGAACCACTGGTGCTATCAAGAAACAAAATAGGATTCTGAAATCATGTGAAGACCCTCCACCTTATCCAAAGTGTGGAATTCAAAGTGGTGAGCTAGTAAATGTCAGTTTTAAACCCTCAGGTAAGAGAGAGAGACTTTAATCAGATGACAGAGAGAAGGATGGTTGAAAGCAGAAATGGCCAAGAATGACAACTCCTTCAGTGCTGGACCATGTCAGATTAGATTTCCTTTCCCTGTCCCTAGTCCTGCTTGCCTAACTTCAAAAATTCAACTTCCAGAAGTGATAGGAAGTGCTTTCTTTATCATGGCGTTGCCATCAGAACACTCAAGTCATGAAAATGCCTAAAGTAATGGGTGCTTGCAAAAGAAAATCTATGTTGATTTTGTACATGGGTAAGAATTCTGTAAAAGAGAATTCTTCCTTCAGAATCAAAATTAAAAAAAAAAAAAATCTCTTCCATTAGCATCAAACCCTAGGAAGAATCAGGCAGCAGAACAATTCTGGTGTCTCAGATAAGGCCTGAAAATGAGACTCTAATCACTTGGGATTCTGAGAGGAGTGATAACATTGTTGAGGTTTTATAGTGAGCATGACAATTAAGTAGTAAATGGGCTCAAGGTAAGACTGTAATATAATCCATTAAGTTTTTTTTTAATTGAAAATATAACCTGTTTTTTTCCTTTCCTGTTTGTATGAATGTAATACCTGGGACAAAATAGATGCTAAATAAATGTTTGTTGCATGCATGAATGAATAAAAAAAATGAATAAACATTTTCAAATGCTCCAAATCAAGATTAAATATCATTTGCTTAAAGAATTATAAAAATAAAAGACTGTTATGTTCAAAAGCCACACACAAGGAACTAATAAAAATACTAAACAAAAAGTCCCAAACTCACATATTAATCTCCCAACAAGTTTGTTAATCTTGATTTGCACTGACAACACTGGTATCACATAACTGATACATATTAGGCTAACTGACTAACTGCTTCAACAAATACGCCCTGTCATCACAAAATAAAATTTTCTTTCTTGCTTATGTAAGAAGCCAATGGCAGGAGTGGGATTTGGGGGCAAAGAGCCCTGCACCATGAAGTTATTCAAGGACACTAATCTTTTTAATCTATTTGTTCCAGCACCCCCCATCACCTCAGAGTTGTGCACTGAATTCCCTACATTCAGCCAACAGATGATGGAAGAGAGGAAGCATATGACCAGGGGTGTGGCAGGTTTTGTGGTCTAGGCATGCAGATGGGCACATCACCTTGGCTCACATTCCACTGGCCCGAACTCAGTACTTGACTTTATGTTTGAAGAGCTAAAAAGTTTCACTTTGATAAATAAATAATAGGCACTACTAGTTTTTAAGCAAAGAAATGACCAAGATGCAAATGGGGAGTTACACCAGCCATATTGAATAGAAGAAACTAGCAATGTGGTTAAATTAGAGCCTGGGAGACCTGGTAAGAAGCTACTGCAGTCATATGGGCAGAGAATGATGAAGCCCAGGGTGAAATAGCAGAAAAAGAATGACAAGAAAATGAGAAATATAAGGATATGTTGACTGATTTGCTGAGTGAGCAGAAAAGAACTAAGTGACAGTCTTGGGTTTTATATATTTATATGAGCATATATATTTAAATTTCAGTGGTCTTTTAGTTAACTGATGCATGTTTTGTTGGTTTATTCATTTTTATCCACAGAGATTAGAAAAAAAAGATTTAGATGTGAAGAAAACTGAACAGAGTACAGTGTCTGTGGGAAGTCAAGGGAAATCTAATGGAGAAATAAGGAAAACAAACAGATGAAGGGAATGTTTTGGGATTCTGTAGAACGCAGTGAGGGTTTTGAAGTGAATGTGTGACAGCAAAATTAAGTGTCACAAGAGGAAAACTTACATTCAAAACACTTCTCTGTATTTGTTATGCTGCTATTTGCCACAACTGTCAAACATTGATGCCAATAAAATGCGTGAATAAATAATTCCATTTTGGCTGTGGCAACTGGCTTACAGTATGCATTTTGGAGGCTCCTGGAAAGATGTTGTTTTTAGTGCTTACAAGAGAAAAACTATACCTGGAGAGGCTAACTGGTAACCAATTAATCAGACAATTGATCTAATGGAAATGAGCTTTAATCACATTGTTAGATGCATTATAGCAATTAACTAATGCTCAGGTTTAAAATACGCAATGTAAAATTCATTACTTAGACAAAGAAGGGTGTCATTAATCCCTGGAAAAACAAATACGTACCTTTTAAAGCCTTCCTGCAGCCTTCTGCAGTTTGTGAGAGACATGGGCTGAGGGCTGAGTGCACAGAGATCCTGTTAGAGGTGATAACCGCCAGAGCAAGGAACTGAATGTGAAGGAATGCATTTCCATCTCCTCACCCAGGTCAGCCCGCCTCTTGAGTCACATCTGGGATGAACTTCCAGAGAATTCTAGAATGTACTCCTTGTAGTGAAAACAATCAAAGTAAAATGAAATAGACTCCTTTGGGCCTTTTACATATTTATTATTTATTTATTTATTTATTTACTTATTTATTTATTTATTTATTATTTTTACAGGAAGAAACAAATCCACATATATCTCTCAGTTGTTCAGTATAAAATTTGTAGAGATACTTTAAGGCATCTGTGTTGTCTGTAGGCAATAGGAACATTTTTAATAAAATTGTTATTAATTTTTCAACAGCTATGCAACAATCTACATGTACAAGTAGTCTATCAAAACGAATTCCTTTTATCATACATATTCATAAAGCAGAATTTGAAATGTTTAAGCACCCACATTAAGTCCCAAGCATAGTAACAGATTTGGAGTGCAAAACGGAGCAGAAGAGTCCCTGAGTAGGAATATGTCATTGCTACCAAATGACAGAGCACCAAAGAATATTTGAGCTATCATGAACCAAGCATTCGCCACTTACTTCTTTCTCAACCAAATAAGGTACTAATACTATTCTAAGTTTACAAATGAGGAAACTGAGGCATGGGATGATAGAGTAATTTATTGTAGTCACACAGTTTGGAAGTGGCAGAGTAATTGTAGTGCTAGACTTGATGTGTCTTGGAGCAAGAGCACAAAGAGTATTCCACCATCAGAAGCCACATGTGTGATTTTTGGGGTGGGTGGCAGGGTGTGGGTAGGAAAAAGAGCACAAGATGGGGCACCAGGGTGGCTCAGTCAGTTAAGCGTCTGCCTTCAGCTCAGGTCATGATCCCAGGGTCCTGGGATCGAGCCCCGTATCGGGCCCCCTGTTCAGCAGGGAGCCTGCTTCTCCCTCTCCCACTCCCCCTGCTTGGACTCTCTCTCTCTCTGTCAAATAAATAAATAAAATCTTAAAAAAAAAAAAAGAAAGAAAGAAAAAGAGCACAGGAGATGAAGCAGAAGTGATAAGCAGAGGTCAGGCCATGAAGAAATGTGAGTTAACAGAAATTACAAAACTATTGCTAATGATTCCAGTAAAGATGGTGATAGTCATCAGGCTCTGGCTATGTATAATACATCAAAAAAGTAATAGATAAATCACAGTTAGGGCCTCAGCCAAATGCATCAATTTTCTGTCCTTTGAAAAACAAGTTCTACTCAATAGCCCTCCTTTGACAGATACTGGGAAATAAGAAAGATTTGTTTAGTTGTAATTAACCTTGGTCATCCTTCCTGAATTGTTGCTTAAGTCCCAAAGAATTCTTTTTTTTTCTTTTTCTTTTATTTTATTATGTTATGTTAATCACCATACATCATTAGTTTTTAATGTAGTGTTCCATAATTCATTGTTTGCATATAACACCTAGTGCTCCATTCAGTACGTGCCCTCTTTAATACCCATCACCAGGCTAACCCATCCCCCACCCCCTCCCCTCTAGAACCCTCAGTTTGTTTCTCAGAGTCCATAGTCTCTCATGGTTCATCTCCCCCTCCAATTCCCCCCCTTCATTTTTCCCTTCCTACTATCTTCTGCTTCTTCTTTTTTTTTTTAACATATAATGTATTATTTGTTTCAGAGGTACAGGTCTGTGATTCAACAGTCTTACACAATTCATAGCGCTCACCAGAGCACATACCCTCCCCAGTGTCTATCACCCAGCCACCCCATCCCTCCCACCCCCCACCACTCCAGCAACCCTCAGTTTGTCTCCTGACATTAAGAATTCCTCATATCAGTGAGGTCATATGATACATGTCTTTCTCTGATTGACTTACTTTGCTCAGCATAATACCCTCCAGTTCCATCCATGTCATTGCAAATGGCAAGATTTCATTCCTTTTGATGGCTGCATAATATTCCATTGTATATATATACCACTTCTTCTTTATCCATTCATCTGTCGATGGACATCTTGGCTCTTTCCACAGTTTGGCTATTGTGGACATTGCTGCTATAAACATCGGGGTGCACATACCCATTCGGATCACTACATTTGTATCTTTGGGGTAAATACCCAGTAGTGCAATTGCTGGGTTGTAGAGTAGCTCTATTTTCAACTTTTTGAGGAACCTCCATACTGTTCTCCAGAGTGGCTGCACCAGCTTGCATTCCCACCAACAGTGTAGGAAGGTTGTCCTTTCTCCACATCCTCGCCAACATCTGTCGTTTCCTGAATTGTTAATTTTAGCCATTCTGACTGGTGTGAGGTGGTATCTCATTGAGGTTTTGATTTGGATTTCCCTGATGCTGAGTGATGTTGGGCACTTTTTCATGTGTCTGTTGGCCATTTGGATATCTTTGGAAAAATGTCTGTTCATGTCTTCTGCCCATTTCTTGATTGGATCATTTGTTCTTTGGGTGTTGAGTTTAAGAAGTTCTTTATAGATTTTGGATACTAGCCCTTTATCTGATATGTCATTTGCAAATATCTTCTCCCATTCTGTCGGTTGTCTTTTGGTTTTGTGGACTGTTTCTTTTGCTGTGCAGAAACTTTTTATCTTGATGAAGTCCCAATAGTTCATTTTTGCCCTTGCTTCCCTTGCCTTTGGCGATGTTTCTAGGGAGAAGTTGCTGCGGCTGAGGTCGAAGAGGTTGCTGTCTGTGTTCTCCTTTAGGATGTTGATGGACTCCTGTGTCACATTGAGGTCTTTCAACCATTTTGAGTCTATTTTTGTGTGTGGTGTAAGGAAATGGTCCAGTTTCATTCTTCTGCATGTGGCTGTCCAATTTTCCCAACACCATTTGTTGAAGAGACTGCCTTTTTTCCATTGGATATTCTTTCCTGCTTTGTCGAAGATGAGTTGACCATAGAGTTGAGGGTCCATTTCTGGGCTCTCTATTCTGTTCCATTGATCTATATGTCTGTTTTTGTGCCAGTACCACACTGTCTTGATGATGACATCTGTGTAATAGAGCTTGAAGTCCGGAATTGTGATGCCACCAGCTTTGCTTTTCTTTTTCAACATTCCTCTGGCTATGCGGGGTCTTTTCTGGTTCCATACAAATTTTAGGATTATTTGTTCCATTTCTTTGGAAAAAGTGGATGGTATTTTGATAGGGTTTGTATTAAATGTGTAGATTACTCTAGGTAGCATTGACATCTTCACAGTATATGTTCTTCCAATCCATGAGCATGGAACGTTTTTCCATTTCTTTGTGTCTTCCTCAATTTCTTTCATGAGTATTTTATAGTTTTCTGAGTACAGATCCTTTGCCTCTTTGGTTAGATTTATTCCTAGGTGTCTCATGGTTTTGGGTGCAATTGTAAATGGGATTGACTCCTTAATTTCTCTTTCTTCTGTCTTGTTGTTGGTGTATAGGAATGCCACTGATTTCTGTGCATTGATTTTATATCCTGCCACTTCACTGAATTCCTGTATGAGTTCTAGCAGTTTTGGGGTGGAGTCTTTTGGGTTTTCCACATAAAGTATCATATCATCTGCAAAGAGTGAGAGTTTGACTTCTTCTTTGCCAATTCGGATGCCTTTGATTTCTTTTTGTTGCCTGATTGCTGTGGCTAGGACTTCTAGTACTATGTTGAATAGCAGTGGTGATAGTGGACATCTCTGCCGTGTTCCTGACCTTAGGGGGAAAGCTCTCAGTTTCTCCCCATTCAGAATGATTTTCACTGTGGGTTTTTCATAGATGGCTTTTATGATATTGAGGTATGGACCCCCTATGCCTATACTCTGAAGAGTTTTGATCAAGAAAGGATGCTGTACTTTGTCAAATGCTTTTTCTGCATCTATTGAGAGGATCATATGGTTTTTGTTCTTTCTTTGATTAATGTATTGTATCACATTGATTGATTTGTGGATGTTGAACCAACCTTACAGCCCAGGGATAAATCCCACTTGGTCGTGGTGAATAATCCTTTTAATGTACTGTTGGATCCTATTGGCTAGTATTTTGGTGAGAATTTTGGCATCCATGTTCATCAATGATATTGGTCTGTAATTCTCCTTTTTGATGGGGTCTTTGTCTGGTTTGGGGATCAAGGTAATGGTAAAACGAGTTTGGAAGTTTTCCTTCCATTTATATTTTTTGGAATAGTTTCAGAAGAATAGGTATTAATTCTTCTCTGAATGTTTGGTAGAATTCCCCTGGGAAGCCATCTTGCCCTGGGCTTTTGTTTGTTGGGAGATTTTTGATTACTGCTTCAATTTCCTTAGGGGTTAAGGTCTGTTCAGGTTTTCTATTTCTTCCTGGTTCCGTGTTGGTAGTTGATACATCTCTAGGAATACATCCATTTCTTCCAGATTATCTAATTTGCTGGCATATAGTTGCTCATAATATGTTCTTATAATTGTTTGTATTTCTTTGGTGTTGGTTGTGATCTCTCCTCTTTCATTCATGATTTTATTTATTTGGGTCATTTCTCTTTTCTTTTTGATCAGTCTGGCCAGGGGTTTATCAATCTTATTAATTCTTTCAAAGTACCAGCTCCTAGTTTCGTTGATCTGTTCTACTCTTCTTTTGGGTTTTATTTCATTGATTTCTGCTCTGATCTTTATTATTTCTCTTCTCCTGCTGGGTTTAGGCTTTATTTGCTGTTTTTTCTTCAGCTGCTTTAGGTGTAGGGTTAGGTTGTGTATTTGAGACCTTTCTTGTTTCTTGAGAAAGGCTTGTATTGCTATATACTTTCCTCTTAGGACTGCCTTTGCTGCATCCCAAAGATTTTGAACAGTTGTGTTTTCATTTCATTTGTTTCCATGATTTTTTTAATTCTTCTTTAATTTCCTGGTTGACCCATTCATTCTTTAGTAGGATGCTCTTTAGCCTCCATGTATTTGAGTTCTTTCTGACTTTCCTCTTGTGATTGAGTTCTAGTTTGAAAGCACTGTGGTCTGAAAATATGCAGGGAATGATCCCAATCTTTTGGTACCAGTTTCTATACTTTGTTTTCAGAAGTTTTGGCCAAGTATCCTGACATTACTGCTAGCAGTTTTCTCAGTAAAATTCTCTATTACATTCACAAGACCTATCAGGATACAGACTGTTCTGTCTCAACCTGTTTGTA